AAGATATTAAGCAGCAGAATGGAGAGTCTCTAGCAGAATAGATAGAAGTAGTGAGCAACCTCTGCCTTTTCAGAGTTTCTAGATTTTTTTTACATGAATTCTTTTGCATACTACACTTAAGGGTACTCAAATTTGCTATAACTTCACTCATGTCCCTTGCTCGAATGGCTGCCCTGGTGGAAAGTCTTATAAATGTGGGGTTATCTGTCTAGAAATATATTTTGAATATTTTGTGACGGTAAATGAAGAAGGTTGTCATGTAAAGCATGGTTCATATGAACTTTTATAATATGTACATTGCAACTATATTTGACCTGAGTTTTACAATAATGGCCTTTGCTTTCCTTCTTCCCCTTTCCTCTCTAATGTTTGAACTAAGCCTCATTGATTTTTCAGGGGCCTTTGCCACTGACTTAAATGGCGTATGATGTAAGGTCTAGAAGCTCAGTGCCAAACTGTGTTTGCAAGTGTAGGAATGAGCTTGGGTTTTTTTAAGTGGTATTTTCAGTAGCAACTTGTCAGTCCAGACAGGAATTAACAATTTAGGAGGAGGTCTCAAATCAGTATAGCCCTCCCCATTTTGACTCTCTTGCCCCCCCCCCCTTTTGTTTCTCAGAGACTAGGAATGACAGGAACCATTTGCTGTCTCACTGTCAGTGCCTCTGGAGTCAAGCTGCATCACGGAGCTGTTTCTAGGATCTCTTGTTAGATTCTCAATTCTAAAGGTAAGGTTGAAGAGGAATGCAGGGAATTTTCCACTTAGTGAAAGTACATGAAGCTATGAATGGAACTATAGTTGCTTAATCAAATAATCAGCTCAAAAGTTTGAGTTAAAAAGCTGAGTTTTCTTAACCAACTTTCTAGAAAAAGAAGTTTTAAACATCATTATTTTTTTTTTATGTTCTGCAAATTTTTAAATCATAGTGGCCTTGTCACTTGAAGCCAGTAGTCAAAGTTGTACAATGTGTTTGCCTATTTTCCAAATATGAAAAAGCATGTTGGAATACTGGAAAAGGAAGTATAAATGTTTCATGGGTGCTGTTATTGTAAAAAGTTTAGCTTGTCTCTTGGTACTTTACTTGATTTTGCATATAATTCAAGGAAGGTACCTGTAAATACACATTTATCATCTCAATGTTAGAATACTGAATTACTGTACAAGGAAATTTTATGCAATTACTTTTGATTTTAAAATATGAAAGGCACTTGTTTAAGAGCGAGGAGTAATGGAGGGCTGTTACTTTCAGTATAACACTTGTCATATTTAAAAAACTTCATGTACACATTTTTCTGTATGTAAAATCCATTTGGATTCCTTTTATTAAAGACAAGAACTATGCTCACAGCTAGTGAAGTCCAAAAGGCATCCAACAGTGAAGCATTAGGCCTGGTGGTAGGCATTTAGAAAAAAAAGTGTAATGAATTGTTGCTGTTCTCTCCTATTCCTAATCAGTTGGTTAATTTTAGGAAGCTAATCCACCTCAAAACAAACTTGGTTTTGTTTGTTTTTTTTTCTATTCTTGATTGGTGTTTGGTTGTTTTTTATCTTTTATCTTTTTTTTTATTGGCTGCTTTTTTCCAAGTCCTTTTGAATTGTAATGAGAGCAGATGTATAAATGGGCAGGAATGTCTTTAGTCTTTATTTCTGAAGTCTTTATTTCTGAAGCTGTTCTACCAGAAATGATGTATCAACTAAGTAGGCCTTTTCTTCTGAGATGCATTTTGATTTGAAACTGGTTGTTTGAGTTGATAGAGGAAATAGGGTGGCATACAGCACCAGGAACCCCACTGGAAGAATTAATCTGCATGTCAGAGGTCTGGCCATGTATACAGGCGTGACATGGTGGGATTATGGTTTTGCTTAAATACTGTATTTCCTGTTCCTTATATTTTTGATGGTGCTTCTGTAGGTGTTAGCTAAGTAGCTGCTACATCGAAAACAATGCAGTTTGAGAAATTTCTTTTGTTTTCATGCATTTCTCAGGATTAATATATACGCTAGAAGTATCAGTCACATTTGTTACCTTTAATTTTGGGATTGTTTTGTATGTGTCTGTAGGCAACAGGGAAGAAGGGTTATACTGTTGGGGTCACTGGACAAAAATAATGCAAACCTTTATGTCAATTTGAAAATAGTTACATAAAGTGGTATGTAATGGTGACCCATCCTGGGGTAATGCATAGGTATGAAACTACAAAATAAGTTTTCAAGAGTAGCAGCTCTAAAAAGAAAAGGGAAAACCATGGGTTTTAACTCATTGCAACTAAGACATTTATTAAGCAAAACAGTGTAGTATAATGTTGCAATAGGTAACCCTCAGCAAATAACAAAAAGGGGAAATGAGGAGACTGCATTTAATAAAAATAAAATTTAAAATCCTTTTAGTAGCTCTTAGTTGATATTTTTCTTGTCCATTTTTTTAATGAGTTGAACAAATCCTATTTTTAGTGGAAGGTCAACTTGAACTTTATTTAAACAGAGTCTCTGGTTCTGAATAGAGATAGGAACACTTTAAAAGTGATAACAGAAGGAAGGGCTTGGAGCCAGACCTCTTAACCTGTTGTTACCAGCACAGGATAGCCATCCATGTAGGAACTTTATGTCACTTAAATAGAGAGGGATCCTTGTTCTGTGCTCAAAGTGCATGTGGTGAAAATAGCACAGAGATTCATGTGAAAGAATTTTTCTTTAAGAATTTGAAATGGGTCTAAAGAGTATTAATGAAAACCTTTCAATTTTGAATGAAATGCTGCGATATTACTTCACACCTCTGTCTTCTTTTGTCTTTTTTGAAGCAAATGCTTTTGTAGTATTTTAAATATTACAGCTACAGTTCTGAGACCAAAAGCTACAGTACCTCCAAAAAAATACCTGGAAGAAGTGTTAAGAAGATAAGATTGGCAAAGCATTTCTAAAACAAGCAGGATAGGTATTGGTTAAAAGGCAGAGTCTGGCATGCTAGTGCAAAGCCAAAAGTTCTGTAGCTGTAGGCCATAGAATTCACACCTCTGATGGAACATCTAGAATTTATCAGTGTGTGTATGCATTCAACCAAGGCAGTAATTGTGATAGTATGTTTAAGGGAGAAGAATTCATTAACTGACCTTATTATGACAAAGTGCTAGCATCTGGGTAACTTTGACCTGAGTATGAAAGGTGAGATTATAGTCTTATATTTCTAGTGTAAATTGTATCTGGTAATCCTTAGCCTGCTTATTGGCCCCAGTTAAGGTGTGAATAAGGTAGTCTACTGACCAGATGGTTGTATCCCAGCACGCCATCCCTGATTCTCCCAGTGGCATTTTGTGTGATCTTAAGTAAATAATTTTTCCTCTATGACTGTATTTCCTTATGTGATTTTGGAAAATGACCTCTGCCTGAAAAAGTGCTTTGATGAAATATGCTGTAGAAAAAGTAGAGATGACTGTTAAGGAAGAGAGCATGTTATGAATATTGTCTTAATTTGTTATATCACTAGACATCAGAAAGTCTGCATGACACAAGTTCATTGAGTTGTAATACTTTCACCCATCTCAAACTTTTTTCCAGAAACCTTAGTTAAAGGTTTCCATGCCATTAGGTGAGTCGTAACCTGTTCCTTGCCATATGGAGTTTCCAGCATCCAGTAAGCGCAGGGCTTACACTATGTTTTTTTCCGTGGTAGTTTCGGTGTAAGGGATGACAAATGACACTGTTTATGCTGAGAATGATGCTGAAGAACTTGGTGAAAATCTTGTGTCCTTGGGATTTTCAGCTACTTTTCAGAATGTGGTTGAATTTGGCCAGTGGGTTGAAAAAGTACTGTAGTAGACACAGAGGCAAGTGAAAGGGAATGTAAGAGAAAAAAATGTGTTTTTTTTTTTGTTTTTTTTGGGTTTGTTTTTTTTTCCCCTCTCAGCATTAAAAATGATCTTCTGGTTACTTCACTGCGTATCTAAATTCCGAAATGTAAAACGTGTTTGAACAAAGGTAGTCTTCAGTGAATACTAACAGATTCAAATTTTGGTGCTGCCCTCAGTTCTCCAGCTCTTTTTTCCTTTGTGATGTCTATGCATTAACAGACATGTTTCCTGTTACTAGTGATAAGAGGTGATAAAATCTGGGATGATTAGAATGAACCTGACATGTTTGTGTGGAAATCTAAAGAATTTGGCAGGTGCATTATAGGTTTTCTTTGGTGTTAAATGGGCCACATCCTTCCCAGCTGTCAGAGGTATCCGTCTATACCAGGGCGTAATCTGGCCCACAAAATACAGCAAGTCTTCAAGCATAAAACAAAAAAAAAGTCCATGCTGTTGTATTGCAAACAGGACTAGTATATTTTAGTATTCTGAATGTCTTACTTCGTTTATCAGCTAGATGATTAAAAACACAGTGACTGTTGTGGCTTCTGTAAAATGTGATTTGCACTTGATGTACTGACTCTGTAGCAGTGTTGGCACCAGTTAATGAAGCTGTATAATAAATATTGAAATTAAGAACAAATATTAAAGCATACTCTGTTACATATACTCAGCCATTTTTCATGTCTTCGAAATCTTCAGGTGTCCTGTCCATGTGTACCTTGCTTAAAAATACTAATCCAGACTGGTTTAATATTTTTCTTGTCTTTCCTGTTTTTTAGAAGGCAATAGGCCTGTGCATTTTATGAAATTGATAGGATAATATATTTTATGTCAGTGTAGTGTAATGTATAATAGAAAAAAATGAACCCAACTGCATAAAGAAAACAAATTTGGTACCAAGTTACTGGGTGACGGCCTTATGAATCTCTTTGCTGTCCAGCTCAGAAGTCTGAAACTGAGTCATTGCCTTGGGGCAGAAGCTGGCGTACAGTCAGAATGGATGGGAAAACAGTAGCTGTGCTGAAAATTCTAAGTACCAAAACTATCAGTAATGACATATTTCATGTCTTGTAATTGCTCATAAGCTTTTATATTTTATTTTTTTTTACATATTTTGTGCTCTAGTATATAGCTTTAAGGATGCCCATCCCCCTGCCACCCCTCCAGCAGCCACTGTGTCCTGTCAGTCATCCTGAAATACACTGGAGAGCTTGTCAGAAAGTCCCTTGTAGGTGCCTCAGAAGCCAAATAGTGAGGCGTAGCAGTTGCACTGTAGTTCCTAACACAAGGAAATTACATAGACAGTTGTTTTAGTGCTGAATATGGACCGTGTATATTCTAGGATAGGTGAGTGATGTGCTATTGGCTTTCTAATGATCTAGCAGGAAATGGATTCTAAAGTTAACGCTTTCTAATTTATGCAGAATGTATTTGGCTCTACTTTCTAATTAGTTTATCTATGCCTGTATACAGTGTACTTACAGATTGTTTAAAAGCTGCAGGTACTGTGTTCACATTGTGTTGCAAATGAATACTGTCTTTTTTTTTTCCTACCCCAAAACACTCGTCGGTTTCAGTTTGGATGCATCTGCTGAAAAGACAAAATTCTCATTATCTTAAAGTTTGTAGCACTTGGTAGGAGTGTGCAAGTGGCTGCTTTTCTGACTGTTCTGAGACACAACTGTATCTTCTGACACATGCTTAACGTCCTAAGTGTTGTAAGAGCTACTGGTCTACAGTGCTGAAATCACCTACTGTAAAGGTTAATATAGCCGAGTGTGGGGTTATAGCAGTCTTTTACCAAAATATCTTGCCATGAAGATCCCAACTGTAATTAGAGGGCAAATTATACTGGAGTAAACATATGTATTAAAAAAAAAAAAAAAAGATGGCATGTAATTCTTACTTTCCTGAGGCAAGCACCAAAAAAATTTGTCAATTAAGAAGATCTAGAAGGACACAAATTCACTTTCTAAGTGGAAATATCAGCAACCCCTCCCCAAATAATCTTTACTGAGTGCATATTTTCTTAATCACCTGTTACCCTTGATTAAAAAAAATCCTATATAAATACTTACTAGCTAGTATGGTAAATAACAGTAAGGAGAGCCTGATAAGTTTGAAGTATGCAGTCAGGGTGTTAAGATAATTTAAGAATTTGTAGTTTTCACTGCATTGGCTTGCAAGCTTGTTTTCATAATTGGCTGCTTTAGGACACATTAACATTTTTCTAAAAAAAAAATCAAACCCACAACCAAAAAAACCCCAAAACTAAAAAGGCTAGAATCAGCAAGTGAGCCCAGTCAGCAAGTAAGCCCTTAAGTAGGTTATGTATACCTTAGCATATAATTGAAAATTTCAGAAACAATTATTTTTTGCAATTGACTTTCAGTTAATGCTAAGTTGTGCCCCTGACCCAAGGCTAAAAAGCTATTGCTTAGTTCAAACGCCCGTCAAGCCAGGGCTCAAGCAAAGAATAAAAATGCTTATGTTAGATAATATGCTAAGGTTATAAAACAAACCTCAAAGCTCCCGAAATAACCCCAAAACTCAGAAAGGGGAAAGTCACAGCACATGTACTCACATTTTTCAGATCTGCAGAAGTAGAATTGGATTAGTAAAGCTTCACAAGTTTGAAACTGCTCAGGATTCTGGAGCACAGTAGTCTCTTATTACAGAAAATTACAATTATATTTTTATCAGCCAGATTTGACCAGATCTGATCACTATAGACGACCTGTAGTATAGGAAGTTGTGCTGTGAAAATGGAGAGCAGCTCCTACTGTAAACAGCAGTTTTTATTCCTGAATTTTGAGTAAACTAGTTGCTAATACTCTTATATCAAGGAATTGAGGGGAAGCCACTGCAAAGTTAAAGCATGAGTGTATCTGCAGAAAAAGTAACATGAAAATCATCTAGTGATTTCTTCAAATCTCAGTAGAGATATGAAGTCCTGTCTCTATCCAGTTCTTACATGTCCCCTTCAACTGATGTATGTCTTGACCAGAAAAAAAAAAGCACAGCATAGTCAATACCCTCTATTTGCAACTGTTGTGATGGATTTCAGTAGTACCTGTGTACGCGGGTGCTTGTGAAAATGTAAAATACTAGGGTTGTGAACCAGCAATACCATAAAGATATTTTTTTAAAATATGAATAAAAGGCAGATTCATTGAAATGCTGACCAAAGATTCAGAGAACCAGTTAACTGCATATAGTAAAAAAAAAAAGTCTGTCTTTTCAAAGATGTGACATTATGTGGTTTGATGCCATCCTAGTGGAGCTGGAGTAGAATACATTTTTTTTAATTAAAAGCCTTTTTGGTTCAGGGGTGGACACAGCAGAAGCAGTTTTTCAGAAGTGTGGGTGCTTCTCTGCTGTATGTTCATAGGCTGCACCATCGTGCTGACAGGCACAGACATGGGACACTGTTTGCCAGCGCTGTGGAATTGGCCGTATGTTGTTCTTTTGTTATGGGAGAGGCAGTTTAAGAAGCTATTAAATAGCCAATGTGGCTTGGAATTAAAGCTGAGGAGACCAGGGATGTCAGTGACACACATTTGTGACTTTCAGAGCAAGTTATTAGTGCTGTAGGAAAGTTTACTTTAACAGGTTAAAAAAGGAGGTCTCATTAATATTTGCTTTGATTCAAGAAATTGTGTGTAGGTCTGAATGTCAGTGGGAACCTGGCTTCCAGGCCACTGATAGCTGTCTTGCTAGTAAAACAAATGTTGCTGGAAATAACTCTATAGCTGTAGCTATAAGAAAGCCTGAATTTTCATCAACTTTGCAGACACGCAACCTTTCTGAATGTTCGTTGTTCAATAAAATGGTGCAGTTGTCCCATTGAGATTGCGTTTTGTACTAGACCTTTTGCTCTTGTGGTTTACAGACTGTACTTACATCATTATATATTTAGTGTATTTCCAGAGAATTAGATGGTCGAGAAAATGGTTTCATGTTTGTTTTTAGTTTCCATATGTGAAGAACCAATGGCTATTAACAGGAAGGATCACTCTAGGTAAAAAGTGAAAAAAACCCACAACTGTTTGTATGAGCACAGAGTGGGTATGTCTTTGGCCTGAGATGTAAGACTAAGCTCTTGTTGCAGAGCTTGTCTCTGCACCAAGATGTTATTATAACTGCACAGAATGAAAAAGTGAGGTGGTGGTGTTTTTTCATGATGACCTAATCTGTAGTTGTAGGAAGCCCTCTGGGTGATTGTGGATTTGTCTCTTAGTCATTCCTCTACTAAACAGCAGATGGAAAGAGCCTACCTTATTTCTTGCTTTGTTGCATATACAGTGTATTGTTAAGAGTTGATAGCCTGATCATAACAAAGATACTGGGCTAGATGGACTTCTGATCTGATTCAGTAGGACATTTATTGTGTTGGATGTGCTCATGGATATTTTGAGTTCATTGAATTTTGATGTCTTCTGTTGCTTGTTGTTATCCTTGGTCTGAAATTCTGAAAACATTAGTTAAGCAAAGTTTGGAAACAAAGTACTTTGCCTTCTGGGGGTGTGCCCAGACGTACCAGCCTTTACAGATTTGCTGTGTTTTCAGCTTGTTTTTATCTGAGCTCAGTGAGTAAAGTATTTTACCTTGAGTAAAACAGAACCAGCAGAAGGTATGGAGTCATCCATCTGAAAGGACTTCATAACAGTTGCAGTGTGGCTTTGTGAATAATAGGTGTGATCTGTACACTTAACTTGCATAGCTACAACTTCATCATACATAACAATTCGAGCTAGTACAAGGGCTGCAGTCCTTTTCCTGACTAGGAGCCACCACTTGTTTCTGAAATAGTGAATGATGAGAAGGCTCAGTTGCCTTCAAACAGAGGGGTAAGTTAAACTGGAGTATTTCAAAACCGTGGGAGTATCCTACCTACTGATTCATTGGGCAGAAAGAGAACTGCTGACACTGGTGATCTGGGGAGTCTCAAGCTTTACTTCCTTGGAGTTTTGCACAACTATCTAGAAGTTAAATATGTAAAATACAGTAATTGCTCTTACTATCTTTGCTTGCAAGTGAAATGTGAAATGAGTATTCTGTGATAAACAATTCAGATCTATTTCTACACACTTGCTATAGAAACCCTAAAGCTACTGTCCTGTATTAAACCAATGCTAGGCTCACTGGAAGGTGACAATGTATCTCTTTAGCCTTCACAATTACAGTACCTTATTACTTTATTATACAGCAGCAACGGTTGTAATAAGTCCTGCTTAAAAAGGACAGATATCCATTATATTTGTATCTGAAGTCTTTATTGGCTAAAAGGGCTCTGCAGAGCTGTTTTATGGGAAGTTAAGTTACTGGAAAATTTAAAATGTCTTTTATTTTTGGGACAATAATCATTTGCATTCCTACTAGAGCACAGTTATAACTCAGTTGGCACACACACACTGCACTGTGGCTAAAGGCCTGAACCACGGCTTAGTGAACTCAGTGAAAAGCCTTAATATCAGCAGACTTTCGATCAAGGTCCTAATGAATGATTTATTCGCTTGAAAGACACTACTTAGCTTTACTTTCATCTTATTGACTTCAGTAATAGGCTTTCTTGACACTTAGAAAATATTTGTTATTGCAGGGTGTAAAATAACTAAATGGTTCACTTTCTCCTGCTATTAATTGTCAGGACTTTTAAGGGCTGCTGTATTTTTGTTCTTAAAGAGTTTATGATGACCATTGCAATTTGGAACTGGTAAGATACAGGTATTTTACACATAGTGTTAATGATTTTGTTTTAATTCAATAATGTAATGTATAATTTGGCTTTAAAGCTTCTTTTTATTGACTACTAGAGAACTTAACATTCAAAGGTCTTCTAATGCAATTAGCTCTGGAAAATTCTCTGAACAGAAGACAAGGAATTACATGTACTTTAAATCTGTAATTTTACAGTTTATGGAGTTATCTGCATGTATTGTCACAATTTAGAAATGAGGAATCTGAAAAAAATAATCTCTTGAAATTCTAAGCCTGTTCTGGAACCACCTCTGTACTCTGATTGTACAGAGGCATAGAGGCAGTGAGACTTGTGGTTGTGGCTAATATTTGCTTATCTCTTTTTTTTGTTTGTTTTTGTACCTAGGTGAAATGTCAACAAAAGTGCCAAGCATTAAACTGAAAATTGATCCTCGGGATCTGCAGATCCAGACCTTTACAGTGGAGAAATTACTGGAACCATTGATAATTCAGGTAGTTTAGTATTGCAAATAATAAATTGGATAACCATGTTCAAATGTCAAATACACTGCAAATGGATTTCCAACATATGAAAAGTTTCGTATTGCAAGTAGTGGACAGGGTGTAAAAGACAAGCCTTGAAATCTGTAGGTGAGTTTCTTTACGTGAATTTTGGAAAGAATTGCATCTGCACTGGGTGGATTTACAAAAATGCTTTCAGGTTTGTTGATAAAACTTTTTAGGAGGAGCAATTTCACTACATATTCCAGTTCTATTTCAAGTATTAACTGGTTTAGTACCCAGTGGTTAGTGTATTAAAGATTATCTCATTGTATCTTTTATTTGGCATGGATTACAAATGAGTTTTTTAGTACAATGGAACGGACATACTTGAAGACCTGACTTCATTTTGCAAATAATGTGTATAACTATGAAAGTATTAAAAGACCTCTGTAGCAGTATTTTTCAGGGTAAAGAACAGAAAGGATATCTATTTTGAAACTCAAGCTGTTTTGAATTTCTCTTGATTGTACTTAGAACAAAAATGTTGGGGTGCCTGCATGTAATTAGTCAATTACACATAATGCAAGGGTGTTTGCTTATTGTCCTTCAGCTTTGACAAGATGATGTAGATCAAACTACTTATCACAGCTATACACTGCTTACTTAGTATTCTTTTCCTGGTACCTAGGGGTGTGTTCACATGGCAGTCTCTGCTCTGACAGTAGTTTGTGTAGGTGCAGATAGGTGTGACTTTGTTCAGAATTTCCTTTCACTTGCTATTGTACAAAGAATACTTTGTTGTTTTCCGGGTTGTGAAGATGGTCAGGTATAATTGCTATGAAGTAGATTCAGTGGTTGGTTGAGCTCTTTGTGATGCCTCTTACAAGACTAATTTTTTTTTTAATAGGTTATGTTAACAATTGACAAATAAAACTGGGAGGATGACTTGAGGTACCCAGAGCAAAGCCAGTTAGAGAACTGTACTCTGGCTATAACTGTTTCTGAACATGCAAAAATTGGAGGTGTACAGCTTAATAGAAAAAAGTAAAGGCAGGTCTACCAAGTTTTCAATTATTTTTCTCCATTTGCAACTTTTTTTTTTGATATGAACATTTAATTATGACTGAAACTATTATTATTTTACTTGGACAGATAATACAGGAAAAAAAAAATCATGCAACTCATTTGACTGCTTTTAGCCACTTAGGTACATGGTAAATTTTCTTATTCCAGGAGGGCACTTCTTTTCACACACACTGCTGTGATGACATCTTTCCTTCTTTGTCTGGAGCCAGTCCTTTGCATGGTGTTTCTTTGGGCTTGCCAAAGAATGGTGACCAGATAGAGAGGAACAGTCAGATTCTAATTAAAGAGTCAGCACATAATGATTGGAGGGAAGAAGAATACAGAGATGAAAGATGAGGACAATAACATCATGAGTATGTTTGGTGTGATGGTTCATATGTTTATTTGGACTGTCATGTTGGAAAAGTCCTTTATTCCAGAAGTGCTGTATGTGCACTAAAAGCTAGGAAAAGCAAAGAAGTACTGATCATGTTTTAGTTATAAGAAAAGTTGCTTTTAAAAATAATTTATTGAAGTAAGTTTCTCTTTAATAAAGTTGTATTTTCCCCATTTGAAACTTCTGCCTCTCACTAACTCATCCAGTTTCATTCCTTTTTCATTACAATCTTTGAAATTTCTTATTTTTGACTTATTTTGATCTTCTTTTCTTCCCTTACTCATTTGTTCCTTCTGGAAGATTCTTTTCTTCAGAAAGTAACTTTTTTTATCATTACTTCATTTCCTCCTGCCTTTGATGCATTTTTTCTGTCTTTATTTATTTTTGCTTGTGTATGATCGACAGTGTCTAAAACCTCAGTTAACAGTTCAGTAGTTTGTGGGAAATTGTTAAGCTGGAGTGTCCTAAGAGGATGGATTATGAAATCAGTTTCAGAGTACTAGGAGTAGAGGTCTTGATAGTCTGCATTTTAAAACCTACTCTTGTATACCAGTACGCCTGATTGTGCTCAAGCAGCTGCAACACTGTGGCTATTTTTAGAGGAGATAAAGAAATGTAAATTTTGGCCTGAGTTCTGCAGAATCAAGCACCCCCTAACATAACAAAAAAATACAGTTCTAAAACAAAACAAAACAGTTTTTTTTTTTTTAATACATTATTTTAAAGCTCTTCTCAAGCATCTTTAAAAGGCTTGAGTTGTCAAAAATGGAAATGCTTTGGTTCAAAGAGAATACAATTTTGACTGTCTCTTCCTCCGAACCGCAATGCTTTGTTTCAGAACAGGATTGTGGGAGGGAAACTTACATATTGAGTGGAAAGTGCTGTAAAGGGCTCTGCAGAAAGGGAAACTCGTATGTTGGAAATGACATAACTGCATTAGTGTAATTCTGTGACCAACCTTACAATCTGTATTCTCTTGGGGCTGTATTACTTTGTTTTCTATATATTGCAGAAAATATTATTTAATCCTGTCCAACTGCCTCCTCACCAGAAGGGGTTACATCTGTCTGTGGCCTTTGTTTCATTCCAGGTGCTTTAAGGATATTAGTTTTGAAAGGATGGCTTTCAGGTAAAGTCCTCTGACAATGTGTCTGGCACATTAAAAGTGATAGTTGTCCAAATTGACATAATTCAGCTGCCAGCTGCCTTAATGTAAATTGAGTACTTGCTCAGACAAACAGTCATTCCTTAATTCCGGGATTTTATTAGAGGTTAGAGATGCACTCTGTCATGGAGAAGTAGTGTGAAGCAATCAGTAGATCATAAAGCACTTTCATTTGTATAGTTGATGTCTAATATTTGTTATGCTTCTACTAGATTTACTCACAATGTATAGCAGTTAATATAATGGAAAATATTCTCTTGTTTTATGTCGTCCTGAGACACTGAAGTCTGTCTAATCTCTCTGCTATACTATGTAATGATTACAGTTATGGCTAAGTATAAACTTGCTTCTGTAGCAAGCTATATTACAAGTAAAAGTTTTGAAAGATACGACTTGATGAGATTCATATCACTTAATGTAGGAAACACTTCATAACTGTCTTTGCAGTCATTGCAAGTCTTACAAGCTGTGAATTTGCTGCTTATTTGGGTATTGTAGCTAAAGCTCTTTCTATATATTTATTTATAAACACATACTTAATATATGCGTTATGTGTGTATGTATACATAAGCAAGTATTTTTAAGAGCTTTTCCTCTTCAAAACCTATTGCTCCCATGTCTTTATATTTTATGCAAACATATGAGCCAAGGAAAGTTTATGGCTGCAAGAGATAGGTACGTTTTACAAAGTATGTAGAAAAATCCATGTTTTTAGAGTCTCTTGCTTCACTGATGAAAAATGGGCAAGTTGAAAGTCATTTACTCTCACCCATCATCCACACTGACAGAAGTCTGCTCACACAGAAAACTTACACTGTTGGCTTTAGTTTTATGTGTTATTTTGGTTTTGATGAGTTTTGATGATGTAATATGAGTTTTAGTTATGGTGAGTTTGCTTTATGCACACTGAAAGTGATTAACCAGTATTTATTTGTATGAGCAATACTTTGGAACTGAAACAGTGTGCAGGGTTTGAAACAGTTCTGCTGTTCTCATTGGATCACTGAGTTCATGTCTTGTTTTTCTAAAAATATCTAGGGATTGTAGTTACACTGAAAATAATTTTAAACAAAAAAAGCTTTATGATGTTTAAAAATAATTTTTTTATTAATAGAAAAGGTGAACCAAATCTTCTGATACCCAAGGTACCAAGGCATTGTTTTCTTAACTACTGCAATATTAAAAGATTGTCTATAAGGGCTGGCAGGAACTGAATATAGCATTGGAAGAACTGCTGCACAGTTCCTTAGGAATTCAGTATTTGAGATAATCATGACAAAAAATCCCACCCTTTCAGCCTAATAAATAATGCCAGTAACAGGCAACAACATCATGATTCAGCTTTGCAGCTGTGATGGCATATGGGCTTGAAAATATCACTTAAAGCTTTGTGCTTCTAGTACAGCTCTGTTATTCCTACCAGAGATACAAAACAACCTCTGGACAATGATGTCAGTTTAACCCTGGGAGACCTGCTGTAATATGGCTGTAAGAAGGTGTTAATAACTGGGAAATGCAATTGGGCATAAGCAGGATTAATGGGGGTGTTTTGTTTTGTTTGTTTAGTTTGTTTTTTTTTTCTATAAAGATATCATTTTGACTTGGTATTCTGCCACAGCAGCACAAGCTGTGTTGACAGTGGATCAAAGGGGCACACTATATTAGCTACTGTGTAGTTCTGTTCTTTCTATGTAGGATCTGCATGAACTTTTTGCATTCCTCAGTGGGATTCTGTTAGAAAACTCAGAGTAGTTCTATATACTTAATCTCCGAGAGCTGAGAATGACCTATCAAATTTTGAGTTGTATTTGAGTTCAGAAGCTGCTTCTGATATTTCCTGGCAGTTGAAGATGAAGAGTGTTACGGTCCAGAGTTTTCACGCGCAGGAATCATTTTTCATATTTTTCCATTTGTTTTGTTTCCTCCAAAAAATATGAGTGAACAGTACACAGAATGGTATTTTGCATATAGAGGAGACTACAGTAAAAATCTGAGAAATAACATGCATTTTCTGGGAATGGTTATTAAATAGTTAAGACACAAAGTCTTTTACTTGATATATTTCTGGGGCAGTATCTAATTTTTTACAGTGTTTTATGTCTTTGTTATTGGAAGTATCAGCCTATACGCTCTTTAACTGCTTTAAAAAATATGATTATGAAAACTGCATTAAGTGCTCTAGAACTAATTTTAAAGGATTTGTAAAAATAAAAGATACAAAGATTATTATCCACAGTGCATTCTGTATCAGCTGGCTGATTTATGTGCAGTACATAATTTCATTTACTTTCTTTGAAGCCAGAGTCAGAAAGATACCCAAGTCCTCTTCAACTGTCTGAGCTAGAGTTATTTATGTTACTGTCTCCCTTCTGACATGCCCAAGCATCAATGTCAAGTGGCTGATCCTTTTTCCCCCCACAATTCCACATGAATGATGTAGGGGACAGGGCTTTTGTCTTTCAGAGATGTGTTTATAGAAATGCTTCCCAGAGGATGTTTGTCAGTTACTTTTAAAAGTACTGATTCATGAAAAGCACTGAAGTGTGTGATCTCATGAAAAAGATCTAGAGGTGAGGTAGGACACAGCTAGCACATATTTACCTGTGAATGGAGCACTCTTCCATAGAGCAGCTCAAACCACAAGCTGTACTGCAGCTATTTTAAAGTAGATTTTAAAAGCATAATTAAAAAATATAAATTATTATAATTAAAAAGTATAATATATAAGTATATTTTAAAATACCTATATAGAACTTTTATTTTTAAATCTTTTAAGATTCTTTCCTTAGCATGACAGCTCAAGCAAAGCCCTAGAGACCAGTCTGTTAGAAACATTCTGTTGGAATGTGGGGGCTGTACTCAGATGATGAGGAATGTGGAGTGGGATGCTATATAAAAATAAGTTCTTCATGGGTGTTGAAGTGCATTGTTAAAAAACATAATTTGAACAAAGCTGCAGTAAACCTACATTCTTTATAAAATTATGTACAATTATAATGTTGAGAGCCCCCTGAGAATTCTGAGAATTCTGAGGTGCAATCCTGCTTTATAAGAGAAGAAAGCATTTTGAAATGTGTCTGTACTCATTTGGAGTATTTACTTCTGAGATGGCTTGGGAGATGGAAAGATTCAGCACTGATTGTAATTCCTGCCTTGGCTGAAGCTTCCTTAGATAGCAGTAGTAATTTTTTTTCATCATGAAGAAATTTTAAAATAAGCAGTGTCAGGAATTTCCATCAGGGTTAAAATGACAGATTTCCATTGACTTTGCTTTGATCACACAGAAAGAATACAAAGATGAGGCATGTTATGTAAAATTATCTGTCAGATTCAATTCAGTAGTTTTGCCCATTCTCAGTATGTATGCTGAGCTTGCCTGTCTCTCTCTAAATCAGGGGGAACAGCACTGCTTACTCTTAACTATATTTGATTTTTTTAAATCTGAGAACTATAATAGGTGCATTTATAATGAACTTACATCTCTATTGTCTTTTTTGTTTCTTCTAAATGTAGGTTACAACACTAGTGAACTGTCCACAGAATCCTTCTAGTAAGAAAAAGGGCCGTTCCAAAAGAGCTCGTGTCGTGTTAGCGTCTGTGGAAGAAGCCACATGGAATCTGTTGGACAAGGGGGAAAAAATTGCCAAGGAAGCAATTGTGTTTAAAGAAGAGCTTCATGCAGCACTTGCTGATGTCCAGAAAGAGAGTAAGTATATGAAAACTAATTTAGGCACCACAAGGAATTAGTTTAACCATGTAACACTGCTATCAAAATGAGCTAGGATATCCATTAGAAATATATTATGATGTGCAAATGTCTGAGTAGTCTGATTGTATGTTCTCATATGCCACTTGTAAGGAGGTAAAGTGTGCAAGCTGGACCCCATTGTGGAAAAACATTCCAAGTGAGACAGGTTGGACCTTCTTAATTTTAGTGGCTGTTAAGCACAAGCTTAAGTTAATGCATGCTTTAGTGCTCTTGAAAAGACCTATTTACCTGTATCTGGGTTTAAGGGCTTTTAGTAAAAAATTTAAAACCAGAAATCATCCCTGTGCCTGAAGGACTGTGTGTTAGCCACTTAAATTGGGTCTGTATGTCACCCTGCTGTTACTAAAGTTGCAACCTAATCAGGTTGGGTTGGGTTTTGTTTGGGTTTTTTTTTGTTGTTTTTTTTTTTTTGTTATCTTCGATGTGCAGCGGGGGCAGTTTCTGAGTCTCTGCTGTTGTTCAGGGTACTGATTACTAGCTATTGGCTTCCTCTGGATCCAGAAGTGGCTGCATTTTAGATATATGCGTATGGTGTCTGAGATACCTTAAGGTCCTTTGTGATTAAAAGCATTATGACCAGCAAGGGTCATTGTTATCTGTCACACTGATCAGCTAAAGCTTTTAAAAAAATAATTAATTGTGGAATACTTTTAAAGTTTGCCCATCCATTCCAGGCAGATAACACAAGAATAAAACACATAATTTCATATTGATTTTTATACATAGATAATATAAAAATATTTCACATTTTCTTTATTTATTTATTCTCAGCCAAGACCAGAGATAACTACAAAAATAAAATATAAAGTAGATTATCTATACCTCATACATTTTAAAAGAAAGTTAAGTCCGTGTTATCACCTACCATTATGCAATGACAAATTTAGTGCTCACAGCTGATCTTCCTCCAAGAATTTGCCAAACTGCAGAAGCTAATTTTAAGAAGTTGGTGGACAACTGTAAACTAAATAGCAGTTTACTAATATTGCAGATATTTTTAGTCTTCTGAAGCTGTGTATCATTTTTGATTTGTGATATGCTGCATTATATGTAACTTTATTGCCTGTTATTCAAGCCACATTCTGCTGCTATTAAATGCCTCATGTTATTTACTTCAAGCTCTTTTAAAGGATGTGGATCATAAACTGTGCTTGCATGCAATCACCTGCCATGCATGTCATAGCATATAGTGTTTAATCTTCTGTGGGCATACTTTTGTGGTGACTAGCAGCTGTGTTTATTAACATGCTCTTAAATAAGTTATGAATTTTCACATGCAGCTACAGCTTGTATTTTCATTCAGATGTGAACCAAACTATCATTCCCAGAGTTGCATACCATCTGGAACTAATAAATACTCTCTCACCAATTCTTGCATTTTCACTTGTGTCACTCAGCTTGTTGAGTTGAATCCGTAACATGAGTATTAAATTATTTTCTTTTGAATGTCATTTGCTAGTGTGAAAATGCTGCTTTGATACTTTTGGAGCTCATTAATAGGGATTCCTTTCAGAGGAGTGATAGGCTTTTTCCAAGATGCTGCTGCTGATCTTGCTTATAATAATGTTTTGGGGAAGAAAGGGGCAAAATAGGATGTAGTGAACAGTGAAGGTAAGATAAATGGAAGATTTGTCATATTTAATTCATCTGATGCATTAGTGACTCATCTAATGTCTTCAGAAATGGGGACATGGCTATGGCTTTGCTGACTACAGTTCAGTCTTGACAAATGTTGTCAGTAGATGAGCTTTTGGTCTCTCAAACTCAAATGAGTTGTTAGTGACACCTAGAAGGAGGTGTTGCTATAATGAGTGGCAGGCATGTTCCCTGAATAGATCTAGTTTCTGCTTCTTTTGACATCTGCAAAGTTTTATTGAAGATTTATAGTCTTGGAGCTGATCATTTTAATATAGAGGGCCTCCACATTTTAATTTGAGCTTCCTCTTGAGAAAGGAAGCTCAAATGGTTATGGAATAAGGGGTGTTCTGAGTTCAGCAGTAATAGTCATTTTTCTCTGTGGTCCTGGGACACCTTCAGCAAACAGTGGCCTCTCTGCAGCCAGTATGATGATGATATCAAGCTTAAAGGGTTCCTGCTGCCTGACACAGAAGATACAGGAAGTACACACCATGGGCCACCCTGTGGTTTTACCTATGGGATCACGGAGAAGACATGAGAAGGTGGGATGGAAAACCTACCTCAGCTCTGGAGATAAAGTACTGGCCACTTTCCTCTGTCTCCAAAGCAGCAATACCAAAAGCCTATTGGCCTTCACCACCAGGTTCTGCACCCAGGCAGCGATATCTTGCCACAGTGGAGCAGTGCAGATGGGTTTACCTCTGCGTTGTCAGTTGCTCTCCTCTTCAGCACACATCACCTCCTCCTCTGGTGACATTCCAAAATCTTTGCTCTCTGGCCCCCAGGCTGAAAGTCAAAACCACAGCAGTGCACCAGCTACTAAGAAGGAGAAAAATGACTGCTACTGCTGAACCCAGGACAGTATCCCCCCCTTATTCCATACCATTCAAGCCATGCTCAGATCCCACATTTTTCAATATACCATCACTTTTGTCTCATATATATATATATGTATACATCCACACACACACAAACATTGGCTGTTTTCCCCTAAAATCAAATCTCCTTGAGGTACACATTGGACTTCCCCATCTTCCCGCATTGCCTCCATGGCCTATCTCTGTCCACATCTTGATTCACCTTCTGGAGTTCTACTGAGTCATCAGGCAGACTTCTGAGTGGTGGACTGTGTGCATCGCCTAGAAATGCTATGTTTTCCTGTTGATCTGGTTTGGTGAAGCTTTGTTAAAGGTACTCACGTTCACATTTTTATTCTGAAGTAGTGTAATAAACCCAAATACAAGTATTTTGAAAAATTCTTGCTGCCAGATTTCAAAAAGTTGCCTTCTGACTCATAATGTGCTGTGAATTAATGATAAAATAACTGACTTCTACACAAAGAAGTAAGAAGCAAGGCCCAAGGAAGTTGTGAATGCTCCATCCTGGCAGTGTTTAAGGCCAGGTTGGACGGAGTCTTGGGTCACATGGTTTAGTGCAAGGTCTCCCTGCCCATGGCAGGGGGGTTGGAACTAGATGATCTTAAGGTCCTTTCCAAACCTAACTATTCTATGATTCTATGGTTCTAAGCATTGTTCAAACATGAATGCTTCTGACACTGTGTATCAGCCTATAACTGATGTCCCAGTTCTGATATTTAATCAATTTTAAGACAAACAGTGTAGTTTGTGTAGGGAAACGTTCTCGTAGGAATTTGCATTGAAGTCTAAGCGTTATACATAGGGTAGTGATTTTTTGCATTTATGTCAAGGTATGGTTGCTTATAGGTTTCAAACAATTGTACAAGCATAGCTTAAATGTTTGGTATTTATTGCCATTGCCTACTGACTATATATGGTCAGAATCACAACAGTTATTGTCTGAGTTGTTTCTATCTATTGCCATGTCAATGTTCCATGTGTCTAGCTGTTATCAGGCCTAAGCATGTTCCTAGATAAGCCTTTCATCACACACAACAGTGAATTCAAAGCAAGTTACTTGTTGGAGTTACATTTTGAGCCTTCAGTTACCCTTTAACAGGAAATAAGAAAAAAAAAAAAGGTATTTCAGATGTCCATGTTTAATGTCTTTTGGCATTAAACAGGGGAGACAAGACTTTGGTGGCATAGAAGAAACTACCATTCACTGGCAAGATGGGGAGCATACTGTAAGGATATTTACTACAGGAAGGGGATAGTGATCTCCTGTATTATACTATATTCTTTTTTGTCCCCCAAAAAAGTCTTAAAAATAAGCTTAGTTTTCTCATCCTGCATTAAGAGGTACATGCGTGTGGTCTGCATCAAAGGGACTTTCATTTTGGGAGTCAGAATTTAGACAGTCAAGTGGTTCAAAATAACCTGTCCTGTACACCCTTTTAATCAAACCAAGAATAGATCCCTTGTAAAAAAACTTCTGACATCGCCATCATTGGATCAGGTGTTCCTGAGTGGGAAAGGGGGAATGAAGAGATGGGTGTAAGGTATGAAGGGGGTGTGTGGTGGCTCTGGTTACACATTAGGAAGAGCTGTATGACATGTGGAAGTGGAACTTCCTGGAATGCAGTTCTGAAATAATTGCAGTGCAACAGAATACAGTGGTATCTCAGTGGGTAAGAGATTGTGTGGCAGAAGAAAAATGTCCTTTAATATCTACAGAAAGCTATTGTGAGAATCTGAGTTACTATGGTGTTGAATATTAGGAACATGCAGAAGGAATCAGTCTGTTTTGCCCTGACACTTACAGTGTCACTTACAGCTGGCTGGCTGAAGCAGGATCCTTTATTTGCTGTAGCAGATGGAGATGGTATTTGTGGGAGCGAACAGATGATTATACCAGTTACTAGTATTGCTTAATCTCCTGGTTTTTGGAAAGGGTAGGTTGTTTTGGGTTCTAATGTGACATTGACTCCCAACCTTCTCTGGTAGTGATTCTGCTTATGTGTTAGTTCACGCCGAAGGAAATTGAATTTGCAAATAGTAGTGTAAATCATTTTGTAAGTTTTCTATTATTAGTATAAGCCATTGAGATTACCCCCCCCTCCCCGTTTCTGTCAAGTTTGAGACTAGGACATTCAAAATCCTCTCTTTTTACTGACTCTTTACTGTCCTTCCCTCCTCTAGTCAATTAGCTCCTTTTTACAACTATTTCTCTGGAACTGTAAATCCACCATCTTCTAAGGGTGCAGTTCAGACGAGTGGACTTTCTTGGCAACAATACCTCCTTGTGGGAGGATAGAAGAATGGCGTAAATTCACTGCATTCCATGTGGATTTCACACTGTTGCTGTTAAAAAATGAGAGAAGAAAACCAGATGTAAAAACAAATGGAAATGTGGTCCTTAAATTGGATTTAGAAGAAAGAAAATCTATTCAAAGAAATAAAAGAAGAAAGCATAATTCCGATGGTCTTGTGCAAACCAATAAAGAACATTTAGCTGTTGTCAGAGTGTGATGTTGAACACTGTCTCTAAGTGGTGCTCACTGACTGCAGTTGGTGTTCCTGCAAGTGTCTGTGTAGACAGGTTGCCTGCAATCAGCCAGCAGCCCAGCAGAAGTGTGTGCCTTTTGTCAGCTATTTACCAACAGGATTACAGTTTACTTTGTTTTTAAAGGAATTGCAGTGACAGTTTTTTGATATTTTTGGTGCTGTATATAGTGCATGGATCCTCTTAACTTTTTTAAAAATTACGTGGGAACTGTGTTTCTATCTTTCCCCATGCCTGAGCATAGGTTTTCTTTCTTTCTTTTTTTTTGTGTTGTTTTGGTTTTATTTATCCTTTTGTGTATGTTAATCAGTGGACATTCTTGGATGTATGTGTCTTCCAATAATTATGTAGTTATGATATATCCTGACTTTGGTACCTTGAATTAATTCTCATTTGAATGTCTAAAATAATTGAAATACTATGAATTCTCCCATCTTTCTGCTTCCGTATTTGTGTGCCACTAAAAGGGCACTATTTTCCATGTTTAACTGTTTTGTGACATGTAATTATGGAATAGCATCCACTTGATGAGAATTACAATAAAATGGATAAAACTGCATCAACCTGTCATGCTGTGTACTCCATTTTAAGACAGCTCTAACATCATGTTGTTGTTGGAGCTGTAATTTTCTACTGCTTGTATTCATAGCTCCTGTCTGCCCAGCCTGCATCTCTGGCTCTGTTTTAGGGTCATGATTTTATAGTTGTTCATCCAGCCATCGCAGCTTATGTCCAACTTATTTTTAAGGAGTTAGTCGTATTCACATCCTTCTGGCTTGTCCTTGCTCACACACTCAGTCACGAAAGCACTGAGGTTGAAAGGGGTCTCAGAAGGTCATCTGGTTCAATCGCCCATCTCAGGCAGGGCCAACAGTCTGCCCAGAACCATGTCTTGTCAGCTTTTGAGTATTGCCAAGGATGGAGACTCCACAGCCTACCTGGTCAGCCTGTACCACAGCTAAGTCACAGTGGAAAAAATACTTTTCTGGTGTTCAGCCAGGATCTCCTTTATGTCAGTTTTTGCCCATTGCCCTTTGCCCTGTCCTGGGTACCACTGAGAACAGTCTGTCTCCATCTTCTCTGCAGCCTCCCTTCAGGTATTTATATATACCGATAAGATCCCTCTGAGCTTTCTCTTTCCACCCTGAACAGTCCTCAGCTGTTTTGGCCTTTCCTCATATGAGAGGTGCTCTAGTCCCTTAATCATGTTTGTGGCTAAGTACCAAGAAAATACCAGCATTGGAATGGTACTATTTTCAGGATTTAGGACTATTTGATGTTTTGAAATTTCTCAGGTGCTTGAAGGACACCATATGGATTATATGGCTGTTGTCTTCTGGAAGGCACAATAGCCTTCAACAGCATTGACTTCTGGAAGGCACATGCAGTTCTCTGGGCTCACCATTCACTCCTGTCTGGCTTCTCATGACTGAGTACTTCAACTTTCTTCCACTCCCAACCAGTTTCTTTCAAATCTGTAGGTCTGCTTTACCGGCCAGTTTTGTTTGGACCCCTTTTATTGTTTGCAAAGAGACTACTAGCAGGAGCTACTGAACTTAAAAAATAAAAAGTAGTTGGTTATTGGCTGATGCATTCAGTAGACAGCTAAGAATGAGTGACTGAGCAAAGTGTTAATGTATTTATTACCCCAGTAATGCTGGCAAGATGGTTGTCAGTCACATGGGAAAATGCTGGCCTTTGTTGCTGCTTTGGAGCTGTGGCTCAGTTTTGCAAAGTTGTTATTTTGCAAGTTCCTAGGTCTTTTTGCCTAAGGTTTATAACTTCTCATTTCAGTGGTTTGTTTTTTTTTTTTCTTTTTTTTCCCTTGGATTCTTTGACTGCTGATTGCTTCTATTCATGAAAGAAATGAAAGGGCAAGGATTTTAGATTTATGGTAGTATGTATGGATTATATTTCCCATGTCCTTATTAAGGCACAAGGAAATTCCAGAGTTATCATCTTAAAATCACACTAAAGCTTCCCAAATTGCTATTAATTTATTAATATTTGTAGTAGTCACCTTCAGAATTACATTTAAAGATATGTATGCATGTTAGCAGGATTTATTCTCTCATTGGACTCAAATCAGTGATTTGAAACTTTTAGCACTGAAAAGGGTACTCATCTGGAGAGGTGTTTCTGTCCATTGCATATAGGGAAATAAAAACCTTAAACATTGGTCATTCTGCTTAATATTTGATTTTTTTAAATTTCCTGTAGTTTTATTTGTAGTGATATGCTCAGCTGTGGTGCATTATCTCACCAACTTCTAGAGAAAAGTTCAAACTTGCTGTCCCGAGCACAAGAAATTGGTATTTTTTATTTTCACTGGCTTATGATGTAGCAGGTGCTAGAACCTGATCTCAGTTTGGTATGATTTTTATTTATTTATGGAGTTTGCTAAGCATGTACTTAAGATACATGATTTGCACAAAGACTTCAACAAATCCAAGAGAGAACCAAACAGCACTATTAAAGATGGGTGTTATTGGAAAACAGATGAGTTTCAGCATGTTGGAAGTATCCAGTGTTCTGAGAATCAGGCCAGTATTATCTCAGGTGCTCGTATAAGGACTTTGAAGTAATTAATAGGTTTATTTCTGTAGCCTTTGCTCAGTATTTGTCTCAAATGCAGTTTCTACTAAGAGCAGTAAAACTTGTTCTATCTCCAAGTCTTGAGAAATGAAGTCACACATAGAACCAGTCAGGCAAACTGGTGCAGTTGAATAGTTCTCATTCAATTCCTACTGAGGGAGCACATGAAAGTCTATAACTATGTAATTACAGGAAATCCCTTATTTTTGTATGTGTATCTATAAATTTGCAGTAGTTCCTGATTAGTACATGATTTGTACAAAGTACATACGATGATGTTTCCTAATTTTAGCAAGCTGAAACTATTAATTTTTGTGAATTTGATCAACCTATCTTTGGTTTCCAAGCTGTTACAGAGAGTTTAATGGGTCAAATTTTTTTTTTTAATCTGTGCTGAAAACAAGACTTTTCCAGTGCTGTTCTGCATAGAGTGATTTCTCTCCAGGTTGTGCCATCACTAGCAAAGCTCTTCAGGTGGTAATAGACTTCAAAATGCTTTTAGAAATGTGTGATGGCATTTTCTTTTTTCTCAGTGTAGGTGTTGTACTGCTGAAAGGAAACTTGGGTGTTTGTCATTGTTCTCGCTGTTAAATTTCATTTGCAAATCTTCATGTTTCAGAGCAATATATTGTTGTCTACTGGCACTGTTAAAAGGTCCACTGCATAGATTTCACGTATTTTATGTCAGTCGTATGTTCAAGTGTATGAGATTTTTCATTCCATTAACTTATAATAAGAAAATTTGATTCCCTTCTGTAACCAGGAATTATTTAATAGCAAGATCAGCAAAGTACATAGTAATATAAAAAAGCAGTGACTGGAAAAGTTTAACAAAGCATTCCTGGCGTCATTGTGTACAGTGAAGAGAAACAGTGTGATTGCCAAAGGGATTATTTCAGAATTAAATGATTCAGAAGATCAGGAAGGGGACATAATTCAAAATGTGGAACATTCTGCATGATCTGTAATAATTGACCTTCATGTCAAGGCATGGCAACCTCGCTGTTGTGATATAGTCTAAGGGAATTTATGTCTTCATTTTGCAGGTCAAGCCTTAAAGGTATCAGCAGAGGCATTTACCAGTGATCCCTGCTATCTGCCTAAGAGGCAAGCTGTTGTCCAAACAGCACGATGTCTGCTTACAGCTGTCACAAGGCTTCTAGTTCTGGCGGACATGGTTGATGTGGCATACTTACTGGAACATTTAACTGTGGTGAGTAGAATTTTACAGTGCCTGTTCATTGTTCTTTCTGCATTGAAAATTCTTTTATTTTGTGCCTGGGGGTTGAAGATCTCATGCACATAACACTTTGGCAATTGGTAGAAGTATAGATTCTAGGTGAGATTTGTAGAACATACCAAAAAAAAAAAAAAAAAAAAGAAGTCTTCTAACTGAACATATTTGATCTGGGGAAACTGATGGTTATCCATATAGTTATATTTTAAATTCCTTTGATTTGTTATTTCCTATTTTATTGCTTGTGTTGCTACATAGCTTTTCATGCATGAAGCCTTCTTGATGTTCGTGGCAGTAGTAGGGAATAATTTATTTGTAGAGAATCTTGAAGGTGGAATTTTATGTGGATATTTACAAGCGAAAGAACTGGGTAGGTAAGGATCTATCTCTGTATTCAAGTAATTTTGTGGGAGACATCAACTAGAAGGAGAGGGGGAAGATGTGTGAGAGAGGCCCGTAGCAACCCCCCAACTCCGGCTGTATATTTGTACACTGCAGATGGAAGACTAGAAAGCCCTAATGCTGGCAGAGATTTAAAAAATGTGCAGTAGAAAATATTCTCTAAAAGCCACCTATTTTTTTTACTCAAAGGAATAATGTATTTTGGAAGCATATTGTAAGTGTTGTGTTTTGCATCACCTTTTGTTTTTCCACCTGGCTCTCCTTATACAGAAGGGATTGCTTCATTCTTCTTTTCTCATATAAAGCTAACCAGTGATTTTGTCACTATTGCTGAATTAGGCAAAATGTCCACACTTCTTTTCTTCAACATCAACATACTTTCCTGTCTACATAAATTCAAGGTCCTTTAATGTCAGCCATAGTGTCCCGTGTGAGCAAGCTTCCTTCCTTTTTTGAACAGTGTGATTTTAATCTTTCAAGCATTATGTGATCATGTGTCTGACCACAGAAATGTGTTTGTTGACATTTCTTCGCTGGCTCCTTACTCCATTCAGTCTGTGTCTTTGATGGGAAGAGCAAGAAATTGGTTTATTTTTGTTTTGTTGTCTTTTTTTTTTTTATTCCTCCTAATGTCTTCAATAATGTGTGACAGACTGATAAAAATTGTAAGTTCCATTGACTGATTTAATGTTTCAGGGTAGAGGTGAATAATCAGTGCCACCTCTAATAATGCCTTATGCCAAGAGAGCCTGCTCACTTAAAGCTGACCCTTTTGCAGCAAGTTCAGTTTGGTAAGGACAGGGGAATGAAAATCTAGCTCCCACTCACAGTAGTAACAGCATTTTATAATAAAACAATGTTGTGTGGGTTTCAGTGCTGTGTTTGAAACATCAAATGTTGGCAGTTGTTGGAGATGCAGTACAAGCTAAATGAGCTCTGACTTGCAGAAACTTCTGTGTTGTTACATATGTATGAAATTTGTCAGCTGTAAGAGGAGTGAACTGCTTTTGCACCGTTTGTGGAAAATTTCTTAAATTATGATCTTTTTCATTGGTAGCCTATTACATTTTTGCATATTCATTTTCGTAATCCTGGATGCATCCTTCTAAAAAGTTTTCAGTATGTTTTACATGAGAGACATAAAATGCGTAGTTTTCCTTCCTAGAGTTTCAGTGTTTCTAAACAACTGTATAATTCACTTCATGTTTTCCATTTGAAAATCAAAATGAAAAGCATATTCAGGAAAAACTCCAACACTGCAAAGAGTGCAATTAAGTTTTCTTGTTCTTCATACTTTTCTCTGAATGACAACTGAATTCTTTAATTAACTCTTAGAATAAAGAGTTGCCAGTTGGACTGGTTTTGACTTCTGTGTAATAAAATCTTCATATAGAAGAGTAAAAAGCTGAAAATACAAACATTTTTGTCGCAAAAACCCTGAAATGCAAGTTTTGAACTACAAATAACAGGTCAGTCTCTTTGGAGGAATTCGATAAACTTGGCAGGAATTTAGCTCCAAATGTCCAAAACCATACTTTTGTGAAGATTAGGTTAGATCTTTCTGAAATTTCACTGATAAAGTAAAGAGAATTTGGCTGGTTTATGATAGTATGGTGCAAACAGCAAGTTCATTTTAGAGTTGACTAAGAAAAAAAGTACATCGCACTGATAAAAAGGGTGTTCCTTCTTGAAACAACACATTTTTATTTTTTTTTTTTTAATGGGGAAGAGTTTAAATAAATAGCTGTCTGTATCTGAGTTTCCATACTAATTTTAGAGATTGAAGTATCTAATAAAAAAAAACGAGTTGTGAAAAATTTAGTCAAAGGGCTATTGCATTTATTGCACTGTGTTTCAGACCTGTATTACCAGCCTCATTCACTATGGTTAGTAATGCTCCATATTATTTAATTAAGTGAATTAACAGACTAATGGAATTGCTGGAATTTATTGATCAGGAGAGAACAGCAAGAAGGTGACAAATTCTGAGAATTTCACTCAAAAGCACATTAGCAGTCTGTCTTTCTCTAAACTATTTCAGATCATGCCGAGCCAACATGTTTTATCTGCCTTTTTTCCCTTCTTGTCATGCTTGTAGATTTACTGTTTAAGTCTTCAGTATTTTTCATTAATGCCTCAGACAGTGTGATCTTTATAAAATGCTTGCTTACAGTTATTTAAAATTCTTGCCAGGAAAAAAAAAATTAGAAGGGCTGCAGATAAGCAGCAGCTTGTGAACTTGGAACCTGTGGGCATAGTGCTGTCTGTTCTTCCCTTCCCTGCAGAGTGTTCATCAGCATTAAAAATGTTTTGAGCAGGAGAAAAACAGTATAGTTACATAAAAAAAAGAGAGGTAAGTCATCTCAGGCTTACCTGTGCTTCAGGTTTAGGTATTTGGTTTGACTTGCATAACTCTGCTTCAACTAGAATTTAACTTGCTCCTCGCATTACTTTCTGACTGTTCTTGTGGTGTGGTATCATGCAGTAAAACATTAAAAAAATGAAAAGGGGGAAAAAAGAATGTAGGTTACCCTGAGGTCACAGGGTCAGGTTGTGAAACTGAAAATTATCAGAATCACATAATCATTTGGAAAAGACCTTTAAGATTGTTGAGTCCAACCATAAACCTAGCACTGCCAAGTCCACCACCAAACCATGTCCCTAGAGCCCCATCTACATATCTTTTAAATACCTCCAGCAATAGTGACTACCACTTCTCTGGGCAGCCTGTTCCACTGATCACCCTTTTGGTAAAGAAATTTTTCTAATGCCCCATCTAAACCTTTCCTAGTGGAACTTGAGGCCATTTCTGCTTGTCCTATTGTTTGTTACTTGGGAGAAGAGATTGACACTCATCTCACTACAACCTCCTTTCAGGTAGTTATAGAGAGCAATAACGTCTCCCCTGAACCTCCTTTTATCCAGGCTGAACAACCCCAGTTCCCTCAGCTGCTGCTCACAGGACTAGTGCTCTAGAACTTTCACCAGCTTCATTATCCTTCCTTTGACGTGCTCCAGCACCTCTGTTTTTCTTGCAGCAATGGGCCTAAAACTGAACAGTGTTCTAGGTGCGGCCTCGTCAGTGTCAGCTACAGGGGGACAATCACCTCTGTAGTCTGACAGTTTTTTGTTCAAGCCAGGATGCTGTTGGCCTTCTTGGCCACCTGGATACACTGCTGGCTCATATTCAGCTGGATGTTGACCAATACCACCAGGTCTTTTTCTGCTGGGCAGCCTTTAGTCTTGATTTGGGTTGTGACCTAAGTGTAGGACCTGGCACAGAGCCTTGTTGGACCTCATACCACTGGCCACAGCCCATTGATCCAGCCTGTGCAGATTCCTCTGGAGAGTCTTCCTACCTTTAAGCAGATCGACGCTCATGCCCAACTTACCATCTGCAAACTTACTGAGGGTGCACTTGATTCTCTTGTCCAGACCATTGATAAGGATATTAAACAGAACTGGCCCCAGCACTGAGCCATGGGGAACACCACTTGTGCCCAGCCACCAACTGGAGTTAATTCCATTTGCCACCACTCTTTGGGCCTGGCTGTCCAGCCAGTTTTTAACCCAGCAAAGGGTATACCCATTTGGGCCATGAGCAGCCAGTTTTCCCAGGAGAATGCTGTGGAAAAGAGTGTCAAAGGCTTAAGTAAAGTCTAGGCAGACAATATCTACCGCCTTTCTCTCATCCACTAAGTGGATCATATCATGGAAAATCAGGTTGGTCAAGCAGGACCTGCCTTTCGTAAACCCATGCTGACTGAGCCTCATCACCTGGTTGTCCTGTACATGTCACGTGATCGCACTCAAGATGATATTCTCCATAACCTTTCCTGGCACTGAGGTCAGATTGACAGGCCTGTAGTTCCCTGGATCCTCCTTCTGGCCCTTCTTATAGAAGGGCATCACACTAGCTAACTTCCAGTCAACTGAGACCTCCCCAGTTAGCTAGGATTGATGAGAAATGGTTGATTGAAAGTGCCTCAGTGAGCACTTCTGCTAGCTTCTACAGTACCCTTGTGTGGTTCCTATTCAGCCTCATAGACTTGTGCGTGTTTAAGTGGTGTAGTGGGTCACTAACCCCTTGGATTATGGGGGGCTGGGTACCCCAAAACAACTGGTCTTACTATTAAAAACTGAGGCAAAGAGCGCAATAAGTACCTCAGCCTTTTCCCCGTCCTTTGTCACTATGTTTCCTGCCACATCCAATAAAGGATGTACATTCTCTTTAGTCCTTTTTTTGTTTTGAATGTATTTATAGAAACTTTTTTATTGTCTTTTATGGCAGTAGCCAGATTAAGTTCTACTTTCTTCCCACCTTTCTTTTGGTGGGCATGGATTGTTCCCATGGAGAGAGATCTCCGAAATAAGGAGTATGAAGAAGATGACAGGAGTCTTAGGGAGAGGGTTTGGCATCTCCTTTGGTTCATGCTCATACTTATTTTCTCATCAACCAGCAGAAAAGGATTCTTGCTACTAATATGAGGTCAGTATGTGGTACGTGGAACACAGTTGTTTGTATTCAGGGCTACAGTGTTTATTATTGAACTTTGCAAATTCTGTGGCAGTCT